GAGCTATACCAGTTGGCTTGTAAAGCTTAAGATATTGTTGTTGTTTTTCTCTGTTGTAGCTCTTGGATTTCCGATCTTAAATGAATTAGCTATATAAATGTTAAGACTACACTACCCTTTGAAGTTAAAAGTTTACTGACGAAGCCAAAACTGAAACTTGTCCTTTGTAAAATAAAGATAAATAATTTTCGAATTTGTAATCGTGTATTACACACAATGTTCAACAATAGGACCATGAGCTTCGCTAGACATTGATCCATATGGCCAGTACCACGGATCTATTTTACAAAGTCCCGAACAAAAAAAACAAAAAACAAAAAAACATTTTACTGTATTTTTTGCTGATACCTGTTCGATATGTAATAAAATGTGAAATGAGAAGTTTGTTGGCATGTTACAAATTATAGATGCTATAACAGAAGGGCATAAGAGTATTAGGCTGAACCAAAGTAAGTGTGTAGCTTTAAATAAAGTTCTGCAGTTGGTGATGTAACTAGAATCCATTAAAGTTGCAGGTAAATAGCTAAAGACACCATCTCAACGTTACCGGATCATCAGATTGAGTAGTATTGAAGTATCAATTCATGCTAAAAACAACTAGTTCAGAATAAATAGAACGATTAATTAGATAAACAGCTACTCAGAATGGTAATGAAATGTTGGAAATTGCCCCAAGAAATAAAGAAAGAAGAAGGATTGATGTGAACATATAGCTCCAACAAGTGGAAAGCTAGAAGTTACCTTTACCGAAAAAACTTCTCTACGCCTCATGATCAAAGCAGTAGTTTCATTTCTTACTGTTTGCCTTGCATTAATATCTTTATATATATTTTCAAGGTTGGTAAAAATTCTGTCGTAGTTTTCATACAGAATTTTTGTTGAAACTGATCTGGTTGACTATCTTGTTCTACTGAGGTTCTTAAGAGTAACTGGCCTCCCGTCATCGCTTCTTAGGCCATTACAAATTCTTTGCGAACGCTTGGCTGAGGAAGCATAAAAATTGTACAGAGATTGAAGAAAATTATTTTTTTAGACTAGATAAGGTTAAATTAGATAATATAAATAAATATAATGATAATAATAATAACATTTTTCTACGAGGTACACTCGCTATGACTAACAGTTCACGAGTAGCACCAGCTTTATGTAACTTGGTTAATGTAACTTTGTTTCATGTTACTGCATATTTTGACACTTTTTATGGTGGTGTTGCGTCAGCGAAGTCACATGACTAGTGTCACGCCACGTTTCTAGAACTATCCTGTACCTTG